TGCAGGATGCGCTTGAGTGACCAAACTCGTCCTTAGGAAGGACGAACTAAAGGAATTCCACACTCGTATCGATATTACACGATGATAAACACGTGTCAAGCAGGGGGTAACAGCACGTGCTCCCCATAAGACAAGAGGCCCTTACTTCATTCTACACATAGAAATGATTGCTCTAAATTACACGCTAATTAAAGACTCATAATTTACATTTGTCTAGGTAAGTCAAACAATGACTTGTAAACTTTCTCTCGTTCATACATTTACAATAGCGTCCAGGCAGCCAACCGCGAACCATGAATTATAAATAAACCACCATTGTTCATGGCATGATTTAGTCGCATTTTTAATTTTGCTAGGAAACAAAAAGAGTTTTAATTACGTGAGAAGTAACGAAGGGCCGTTAACCCTGCCAGCTAATTAGTACACAGGAACGCTGATAATTAGCCGGTAAACTAGCGAGGTTTTAGATAAGCAATAAAATTTATCTTAGAGGCGATGTTACTAGGAAGGCTCATGTGGAAATTACTTTACAACTAAGTAAAATAAACAATTATTAGAAGCAGTAATTATACCAATTTGCTGCAACGCCAGGATATTAAGTCATCTCTAAATTTTTGCTAGTTTTAGACAAAACGGATATGGCCTAATAAATCCAAAGTGATTACAGTCTAGACTAAAACCTGTGTATCTATGGTATAATGGTATCTCTTTCGTTTATTAGCACATTCATTAGGTGCGAGTTAGACAGCGAAGATTTTATCGTTTCCATAGGTATTCTAACAGTGCAGACTTAATTGAATTGCAAAAGCTTTGCCTTATTATCAGCACTGCGCGAAACCCATTGGACGGAGTTTATAAGTCTCTGAAATTTTTCTCTAGCGTCTTTAGAAGAATGGTTTGCTCCAGTTATGATCCAAATCAGTTCAGAAAACTACAAAATGGCACCGTTAGGCCCAGTTTCAATTACTTCTGGTCGGAAGAAAATAACAAAATAAAACGTCTGTGTCAGTTCAGACAACCTATCATTATGGTAAGATATGAAATTTTGACCGAATCATTGTCATTACAGTCTATTAGGCGGTAGCCAACAAAAAGACAATAAGTTTAAGGTATTGACTTTTGATTGGTACAGCACTTAATAGCTATTTTTTGTTGATCTGAACATTTATTATTAGTACACTTAAGACTTGAGAAGCAAAAATTAGCGTTGCGAAAGAAAACTACAGACGATGCTACCTACTTTTTGTTACTTACCGAAAACAAGAAGACAATAGGTACTTAAGTCATCATTGGAACCGAATAGCTAAACGTTAAATTCTTGAAGATGCATAGACAAGGGTCTTGTACAATGCCGTACATCCCAAACGTACTTAATTAGCTAAGGTAATTACGGTCACCAGCGTTCCTGATTCTACTAATACGGAAGAAAATTACTTAACGACTATCATAAATTGTCATGGAAGCACTCGGTAATCTACTCACTAAATTGCAGGTTAGAATCTCCGTTGTGTAATAAGGGAACCTTTTTCCACGAAGCTAAATGAAAATGTAATTTTGTAGAATTATCTTAGAGTGGCACTCTGCCTAGATAGAATTTAAATGAAATCTGCAAGTCAACGGCAAAAAATTGCATATTTTATGGCATTTTGTCGTGGTTTCCTATTACGTTTTCAAATTACAACTCTCTTTGATCCGACAAGTGCTTCTGTCAGACATAAACACACTGTAAAAACTTGATAACTTGCGGTAAAGCATCAATATTTTAACCAACAGTGAGAATTGTTTAGGCCAATTTGGTGTATCGTGTAACCGCAAATATTTCATAACTTTATTATCTCATAATTTGCTACGAAATGTGTTCCTTGTAAAAAGGTAACGTTGGAATAAATTGTGGACAATATGATGTCACTTAGTAATTATTTATAACATTAGGATTTGTGCTTGATATAGACGGGCTGCCATGCGGTCGTAACCTTATATGTCTGTCGGTGTAGTGTTCCAACCACCCACACTTGTACCGTATTCCGTAGGCCATATGCCTTTCGAAGTCGTGATCTAGGTCCCTATTAAAATACAGCCAGGATGGGAAGAAGCGTTTGTATTTTTGTATAAATTGGGGCTTATTTCAATAAGCGGGTCTCTTCGGTGGTTTCGGCCTAGTGGGCCTGGGTGGTGGGTGGGACTAGTCTCTATTTTTCGGAATTTTCAGAATGACAAAATTCAACAAATAACGAAAGGGATTGATAGAACCCCTAGTACCTAGTAAAATCTACCAAAATATCGATCCAGTACCCTCTCGTAGTCTGAAAACAACCATGCTTTGCATGTCTAATACTCGCGAAGACGTAACCTTGAGAAACCTGTGAGGTTTGTTCACATCACCGATCCCTGAAGCGTGACCAAATTGAGCTACGATGAGTTTTTTGCCTAGACCAAAAGTAATAGGCATTGTTATTACTAGCTAGATGTAAGAAGACAGCCATAGTTAATCAAAATTATTACGTTATTCAGTTTGGTACTACTGGGAACTGGATTTCGATTAAACATTAACAAATAAAAATATTTATTGCTTATTGTTGAGTACCGTCAATAACCATTTTTGTATGGTGAGTACCGAAAAGTAGCCGCTAAATTGCGATGTCGCACTATCACACGCACCGCCGATGAGTAATCGCAGTGGCAAAAATGATGAAGTGTTTGTTTGAAAAAATTAGACGACGTGTTGAGGCTGAGGGGTGACGAAAATATATTTTCTACAATTTGTATTCAGTTCTTTACTTGACTTTTCACTCGTGCTAAATGCGCCATTAGACTAGACAAATCACGTCAATTAATTATCTATAAATTTTAATTTATGTAAATCACGAACATACCTACATCTTTTTATTTTGAAGCTAGGAAAAAATATAGAGTTTGACAATAAGTACCTAACATCGCGTAAGTAGGTATTTTAATAAGGTCAGTGACCCACTCAGTGCAGTTTTTACATCATTGTCAAAATTTTGCTAGTAAATCCGCATTTCTTATTTATTTGTATCAAAAACTAATTAAGTGGTATCAAAACCTAATAAATAATTTAATAAATCCGGCTCAGATTATAGTAAGATAAGAACACATGTGCCCATAAATAAAAATTATATTTAGAAGTATTTTTATTTTAGGCAAGGATGTAAAATAAAAATATGTTTAATTAAGTTAAAAATGAATTAAAATGATTAATCAGAAATTTATGTAAACAAAACGAAAAAAACGCTTGTAAAAAATAAATAAAAAAAAACAATAAAATTTCAATTCACACTCCTTTGAAACCATTTGAGAAGAAAAATTCTTTAAAATATGGATACAACACAATAATTAATAATTATGTTTTAAAAAAATATTGCATAGCTAAAGCCCAGTTTATTCTATTGTAGCAACTAATATTATGGTGGGTACTATTTAGCATAAAGTATCATGGCTATACCTAACCTAGACACAAATACACAATAGACCATCCTCATTATTATTTTTGTTTCTTATCAGTGCTCATTAAACTTCATTATCCCGTATCAAAGACCAAAATTATTTTACATTGTCAACCATTGTTGTGAATTAAAAAGGATATAATATTATTTTGTTTCGCATTGTCCTGACTAAGCTTTCTATCATGAATAAAATCTAATTTTAAGTAAATATTTAACTTATGGCGATACAAAAAGGTTGTGAACTCATTGAGTACCGTCATTATAGACACAATTAACTCGTCGAGTACCGGTTTTATAGACACAATTAAAGAACAATAGGTCGCGGTCACCGGTGACCACTTGGTGTTTGACAGTTTAAAGAACAATAGGTTGCGGTCACCGGTGACCGCTCAGTGTTTGACAGTTTAAATAATGTTACCGCATACAAATGCTATCATTGTATTCTTATAAAGTTTACAGGTCAAGATCCAAGCGGACACCAGTGATCGCCCGTCACTTACACCATTATAGATCTTATTTCCGATGTTTAAGAGTCTTATGTTTGTATGAACAAATGTTGTGGATATTTCATAATCAGATATTAAGTGAAATTATGAAAAATACCATAGCTAACAAAATCAGAACTGGCATTCATGTCTCATGTAAAATGATCATGACTCAGCAAAAATATTATATTATTAACATAGCTCTTTAGTTGCTACCTGGCACGAAATTGTTGAAATTTACATTAATTCCTGTATGAAAGAACTAATTTTAATGAGATTTTAATAGAAGAAACACGCCAAGTAGCTATTGGACTTGTGCATAGAGGGTTCGCAAACCATTTCTTCATTTATGCAATAATAGCATTAAATCAATGTATGTTGTATGGGAGCACTTCTTAAATATTCATTTTATTTTCAGTAAGGTAAAAAATATATTACAATTTTACATAACCAAAATTAGATTTACAATTCTAAACATAAACAAGTATTTTTTAAGTTCCAAAAAGATGCCATTAAAGAATAAGCTTATTTTCCTGATTTCTAAAATTACAGAGAAATATTAATTTACCCACATTAATAAAATCAGTCTGTGCAGGAAAATGAATATCATAACTGTTGCAAACATTGACCAAGCTTCAGCAAAAATTTTAATTAGGTTGATGAAAATTGAATCAATAGTTAAAAAAATAGATTGATGTGAAGCCAATATGTGAGATGTTCTGAATTCAAATACCTAATAACAAAATGTATTAAACACACTAACAAATAATAATATTTTTTCCAATCACAGGAAATCAATAGTGTCGCAGCATTCAAGATAACAATATTAAAGTTCTTCATATTATTATTATTTACTCAACATCTTATCTTGTTGTCCTAAATGATTACTACTTCTTGTGTAATTAACTAATTTTAAATATGGAATCCAATAACAAACTCTTGTAACCTTAACCTTAGACATGTTCTCAATATGAAATTGTGCTCGCTTGATTTAATAATCTATTGTTACTCAATATACTACTGGTCTATGGACTTTAAATCTATTATTTACCTTGGAATGCCGTCTGCCAGTTGTTTCCAGCTCGACAAGGTGTAAATCTGTCTCCATTTGTGTGTTCTGCTGGGAATCTTAAGCATTGTTTCTTGCTCAAGGGGCTGCATTGCTGCAGCAGCCTTGTCTCATAGTGCTTGCTGAACATTTTTCACGTTAATAGTCCGAGTCTATCACACAACAACTGAACAATCCTCGAGTAGTCTATAAACACAAAACTTGAGGGTATATGGAAGAATGAAGACTAGAATATTTTATGAGACAAAAGTGTTTTCAATCGAACATCGTCTATCGATATGTTCTGACCACAATGTTTACTTCAATGTCCGGAGTCAAAACAAACAACATCGGACGCAGGAGCGCTCTCACCGACTGCTCTGAACCATTTGACTACATTCGACATGCTCCAAAGCGCAACTGAACACATCGTCCACCGTATTGAAAGATAACGCACATAACGATATAGTCCCACAAAATGTTGTGTGATGATGTTATATACTTCAGACAAGCACAATTTACGGATTTAGGTTGATATCTTACGTTGTAAATTGTAACAATTCCTTTAAAATATGATAAAATATTTCTTTCGCGGACTATGTCACACAGCATAAATAAAAAAAGTGTTGCAAGACTAAAATAAATAATCTTTGAATTCAACGGTTCTTTGAAATGTCATAGTCCCTAAATTCCAGTAGAAACAATGGCGCTAGTGTTTTAATATTTATCACTTTCGTTTAAAAAATTCGAATCAATACAATTTTTCCAATTCAAGTAAAAAACTTAATAATACTACTACATAAACAATTTCAATATTTGTAAAATTCTACATATTTTTTGTGAATAAGATTAGATTTTCTCTAGCCATAATAAGTTAAGCTAAGCAAGCCAAGTACTGGCCAGAGGCATTAGTACAAGTTTGTTTTACGTTTAAAGTAATCGTAACGAGTACGCGTTCGGTGCTTTGATTGGTTGGTTCATTGGCGCCGGCCAACGCCGAACGCGTACTCGTTTCGAATACTTTAAACGTAAATGAAACTCGTACTAAGGCCTTTGGTTTCTAAAGTCTATAGTAACCAGCCCCAGGCGACGAAGTCGTTGTTTCAAGAGAATAAGTCGACCTTTTTCAACGTCCTTATTTACGAATTTAAGTTTTGCCAGGTCAAGCCAGGTGAATTTAATTCTTCGGTAAAGTTGTTAATAAATATTTTTATCACAAGATCGTGATGAAGAAACTACCTGGTGCACTTGGTGTTTATCATCATCATTTTAAACTGTCAAACACCAAGCGGTCACCGGTGACCGCAACCTATTGTTCTTTAATTGTGTCTATAAATACGGTACTCGACGTTAATCCGTCGTCGTCCACTGGTACTGACAGTAGTAGCAGTGGCCAGGGGACATAGCCAGGGGACCATGAACTGCAGTGCTTGTTGTATGCCTCTCAAATGACATGTTTCTCAGATAAGTAAAATTTTAATTTCTTTATTGGTATAACTATGTCCTATAATAACATAACATTTTCATTTGATTATTTTATTATTGTAAAATGTCGGTTGTTGATAGATTTTTCGTTTGTATGGATTTTTCTATAGTAAAATTCAATGTTTTTTTCCAGGATTTATTTTCCATTGACAACGACAACATACTTTGACACTAACATGACATAACCGTTCTGTCAAGTCAAGTGTCGCTGTTGCGTCGTTGTCAATATTTTCATTGAGATAGATAGTTGAGTTATTTATTGAGATTGAAAGTTTTGAGACGATAGGTAAACTATTTATTGATAACTTGATGAGTTAGTCTCATTTTTACTAATACTTTTCCAATTACAGTTAAATTAATCATTCTATTTGTTTCCAGGTATGAGTACCAGCAAACAAAGACGAAATGAGGACGGCGGATCAGAGGATTCACCGCCGTACTCCAGGTTATTTATTGTTTGCGAACGGCGCTTAACAGAGGAAGATTTCAGGGAAGCTTTCTCTAAATTTGGGTCAATCGAAGACATACGAATACCACTCAATCATGCAACAGGGGAGTCAAAAGGAGTCGTGTACATAAAATTTTCTAAAACTAGTGAAGCGGCGCATGCTTTGGAAGCAATGCATAAAAAAACGATTAAAGGCTATGGTCGCTCGTTAAAGGTTATGGTAGCTTCTAGTCGGTCCGATATCCACACAGAAGACAACAATGAGAACAAATATAAAAGGCTATTCATAACGGTACCACAGATAATCACTGAAAAAGAAATAGAGGATACATTCAGTCAGTATGGTAATGTAGTATCTGTCGTCATTCAAAGAGATCGTGCGACTGGTAATCCTAAAGGGTTTGCTTATGTGTCATATAGCAAATTCTCTGAAGCAGCCACTGCTTTTGAAGAGTGTGACAGGAAATATCGTGCTATATTTGCTATGCCTAAAGAGAACTATGTAAGACGTACTGAATCTCTTTTTGATTCAAGTATAAATGACTTAATAAACATCCCCTCATCCAGCAATGCTGCTCTTGTGTCTATGATGAACACTCCTGCTAAGGGTTATACCAGGGTAAACTTCATGTGTTGTCCAAATTTAACTAGAATAAATGTTGAAAACTTATTTGACCTTATTCCAGGTCTTGTAGATTTGCAATATTTTGTTGACATACAACGTCGCTGCGGCAGAGGCCTTGCTTCTTATTCTAATCCAGTCTCTGCAGCATATGCAGTTGATAAGTTGAATGAATTTGAGTATCCACCTGGTTTGAAAATATTTGTGAAGCCTGAGATATCTAGGTTTGATATGCATAATCACAATTTTAATAAATTGTCAAATGCTGCATATAATTTGAAGAAAGCTATTCATTCTGCTCAGTCCCCCAATCCTGACTTGGCTCAGTTAACTGAAGCTATTGGTGAAGCTTCCAGGCTGCTTAAGATGGCCACGACAGGAGTTACAGATGATGTTGCCTATGACATGAATGACTTGAGCTACTGTAGTGTGAAGTTGCCTCCTCCGCAGCCACTAGCTGACATTGACAGTGCTGTTGCTAAAAGATGTTTCTTAGTCTGCCAGCCTCAGCCTCCACCTTTGACAGTTTTGCGTGACATATTCTGTAGGTTTGGAAACCTTATTAATGTTTACACATTACCCAATAAGACTGTTGGTTATGCTCGGTATGCAAATTCAAACTCTGCAGAGAATGCAATACATGTGTTACACGGAGCAGAAGTTTGTGGTGTCCGAATAAAAGTTTTAGAAGCTGACGATGAAAAGGGCCCTAGAAAAAGGAGAATGATAGAACAATCTGAACAATGAACAAAATGACTGACAGACAGTGGACAATGCTTCTCACAATGAAGGACAACTTACTACTGACTAGAATAATAATTATATGACAATGTAGCTTTGACATAATAAATGAACTGTGAATTAAAAAACTAAGAATTAATTTCAATCTTGACCAGAGATTTATAAAAACGTCTTTGCCAGAGATCCTTTCTATAACTTTTACCCAATTGGCTAATTACTTATTAAAGTACAAAATTTTATAAAAACTACAATTGCGACTTGATTTCTTTATTAAAAAAAGCATCTAAATATGACAACTTAACCCAATTTATTGCACACACAGCCTTGTGACTTATAAAATAATTGACAATTATCAATATGTAAGGTCACTTTACTATTCAATCTGACAATATTAACTAATTTTGTACTGGAAACAGAAGATTATACACTTTGACAATCATTCCCATCATCGTGACCACATATGCTAAAGTGAAGATCAAACACGATAGTTATCACACAACACGACAATCATTTATGCATATTTAGAACATGACAATAGAGTAAATATTTAAAAAAGGTAGGTAGATATCATACTTTTGTATATTTTTCTTCCCTGCTATGGTTATTTCTGTCGGAAGCTTTTGCATTCTGGGTTTCCAGAGCTTGTTTCCTTACATCTATTAAATGAGACTAATCTTAGTGGCAAAAATTGGTTATAACTATTATTGCAAATTGCAACCCTCTTATTTAGTTAATACAGATTAATTTCAAATATAAAGACTTATGGCATGGTATACGTTGTTCATATTGCTTTGTTTTGTTTACACCTAAATAGTTTCAAAAAGAGATTTTATTTTTTCATTTTAAGAACCACCACATAGACTTGACAAGACATTCATACATTTAGTTACCAATTAGTACTAAATTGTCTTTATTTAGTTAGGTATTATTAAATACTACTATGTATATAACAATTCTCTAATGTCCTATGTGATTCATAATGAGTAATGCGCAACACACGGCGCTAGTGTGAACCTGTGGTTCTTCGTCCAATAGGGAATTAGCTAAAGTCACACCATTGGACGTTCAATATTTGACAGCTGCTGTTACTGGACAAAAATACCCCTTCTTACATTTGCGCCAACAAAAAAACACTCCCCCATTTACGGTAGAACAAATTCAAAGAAGAATGTACTTATAAGTGGACAAAATTCATTAAAATGTATCTTAGAACATTGCTTAATAGTTATTATCTTTCACAATCATCACATTAAATACTAAAATGACCTAGATAGGCACTGCACCATAATCTCAAGACTCCATTATTGCTTGTTGTAGTAAAGGCAGTAATTGTTCTTTGTAAAGAGGATGTCTATCGCCATGTGTCATTTTTATTATTTTTTCAGCACATTTCAACTGGGCTAACGCTTTCTCAATGTCCATTTTGAACAGGAGTATCTTTCCGTACTTCAGGTGTAACAGACCAAGCAGAGGGTTTCTGTCGCCGTAGTAGAATCTGTAAAAAGAAAACTTTAAATAATTTGTTACCGTTTTTCATATGGTAAGTAAAAAGTAACAGGATTTGTAAATACTATGAAAAAGTGACTGTCAGTGGCAGTGTTGTAAAAAGAAATAAAACCTTGTGTATTATTAATTTGAATATACATAACATTAATACACTACACACACATATACCTAATTCACACTTCTATGTAATAGGGATGATGACAGGGTATGAAAATTAAAAATCTAATTAGTCAGTCAGACACGTATTTTTTTATTTTGTCGTATAAGAAAACAATACTTAGAAGAAACGAATCAAAGTTTAGGAGTGGGAGGTAGCTACGTCATTTTAGAGTATAAATCGTACTCAAAAGTGACGTCATGCGATACTTCAAACAAATATATCTACGAAATTATTCGTTTTCGTAAGAAAATTAAAATACGTGTCTTATGTTTATAAATAATCTACTAGACGGACATTAAAATTAATCGTCTGCCCTATTACGTGGGACTCATTATAAAACTGGTAAAAAATGGCTGTTGCATTAGAAATGTGCAGTTGCGTACTTCTGGCTTGGTATTATGATTTCTTTCATTATACTATTAACAACTTACCTAAAGCAGGGAATGAGTTTCTCAGCGTACACGCAAGCTTTCTCCCACAGCTGCACTTGTATGAGCGCGTCGAAGGCATGGTCCAGGGTCTGAGCGTGCATCACGTTGAGTGGGTGCAGCACACCCTCCTGTCTATCTAGGCAGTACTGACATACATCGACATCTTGGGTGGGGTTTAGGAATTTATTGATTTAGTGAAACAATTGGGATGATGATAGGGTATGAAAATTAAAAATCTAATTAGTTTGTAAATTAGGTTATGAAAAAATATTAGACACGTATTTTTTTTAGTTAATACGAATCAAAGTTTAGGAGTGGGGGCTAAAACGTCATGTCTACGTATAAAATGTACATAGAAGTGACGTCATGCGACATTTCAAATCAATATATCGTCGAAAGTAATCTTTTCTGTTAGAAAAAAAATACGTGTCTAATAATTTAAAATAATCTATCAGACGGACATTAAAATAAAAATTGGGACATCTACCCTATTGACAAACGCATATTGCGCATAGGCAATTAAGAGACAGAACAAACCTCGTGGGAATTAATCCCACGACACGTTGCGCAACCATTACGCTAAACATGCAGATATTAGAACTTTAGCAAACTTCAAGGTTCATCGTCAATATGAGGCGATCATTTAAAAAGATTGATATTGCATCTTCAACTATTTTTATCTACATTTCATAATATTATAAAAAGGATACAAGCCACGGACGCTCTCTCCATATTCTGTAAATGCACATGTGTGAACTCCATGGTCTTCACGAAGACATCGACATGTTTCTCCGTATACTTCGTCCCGCATTCCTTACAATGCAAAGCATCTTTTTCATCCACACCATTTTCTTCTATTTCAACTAAATCTGTGGAATTTTCTTCTAGCTTCTCCGGTCTACTATTTGACGGTTCACTGACCTCGGTCTTTTCCGGTCTTCTGACGAGTAGACAGTCTTCTTTCCAAGGTATTGAGACCGGTTCATTGCATTGCTTGTTTAAACAAATGGCGCCATGCACGTGTTTTATTTGATTTTCATCTGCAATATGTTTTTGAATAAATATCGTATTGAAATTAAAAAGAGATTGTAGCATGCTTCGCGATGCAGAAGAGAAGAAAAGAACCTAATACTTTTCAAAATAAAGAGGTCTATGAGGACAAAATCATAAATAATGGTGGGTCTTGTTAACACAAATCTGGGATTTGTGAAAATATTACTGGTTTTTGAGTAAGCAACGAAGCTAAGACTATAAACAGCATAGAAGATTGCTGTATGCTAATATCAATGGGAGTCACCAGGGTTGCGAACTCGCGATTCTGTTGCGAAGTATTTTTTATTAACAGACTTAATAAAGAAACAGATATGTCTTCAATACATGTGACAATTTACAGACAGTTGACAGACTACAAACGATTACTTACGTATCACTACTTAAGACTGAAGTCTTATCAATGTATTTGGCACCTAACTGCACTATAAAAAAGTGACATAATAATATCATTGATTCCGTTGATCATACCAAGTTTGGTACACAAAAAGGTTCGTTTACGGTATCCATAACTATATACAGGTCAAATTACACACTAAAACCTCTATAGATAGATATAGCATAGAGTCTATGCTACCATGGTAACTTCCACCTCTTAAATAGGGGAGAAAAGAGAGCATGCTAGAGTATAAATTAGTAGGCACATCTAAAGCATTTACCAATGCACCTGTCACACTGGCATAAGAAGTAGTAGTTCTGCAGCAGCTCCGTCTGTCTGTCGTAGGGAGTCTTCATTAGGTCTATGTAGGATATTCGCATCTGAAAATAGAGAACAGAAGATTATGTAGTGAACTATTCTTTAACTCGGTATATGAGACACAATGGAAGGAGGGTAGGGAGGCATTTGCCCTGCAGTGGGACGATCATGGCTGAAAATAAATAATAATAATAAATAATGAGACACAATAGAACACACACATTGATAACGCTTTGTGTCTCGCGTAGATCTGTGTATAATTAATAATTAGCACACTCCTACATACTACTGTTACTAGTTTTGAGGAGCGGGGCCTCCTAGCACAGGTATTTTTCATACTTAAAAGGAGACCCCAGCGTAAGATTTATTGTAGAAGTTATTAAGTTGCTGAATACAGATTTTATTATTATTATTATCTACCTTCGGGCATAACACAGGTTAATCTTCGCGTATTCCTTATCCAAAGATACATGGCGCAATGTTTTATTTTTTTATTCTCACTTATTAGATGCCGTCTTTTTAATGGGATGGGGAGGGGGGCAAAGGGCAGACTATACGCTTGATGGTTAGTAATCAGCTTCGCCCATGGACAAACTTAGTATCATGGTATCGTGTGTTGTTATGTTTTACACGAGGAAACAATACAAGCGTTATGCCGTGTCTTATCACAAACTCCTTTTTTCTCATTCTCTTGCTCACATAATCCATCCGTCATAACATAACATCACATCACGCCTTTTATCCCCGAGCCGTTCTGTAACTGTGTAACACCCACTTTTCACTATTTAGCACTTTATTTCATATAACATTTAATTCGTCACTAGTTTTGTTCGATGACTATCAACTTTTGCCATTACATGTCTATTTATTGTTTAGCGTCCATACAAAGTAAAATTATGATAAATTAATTACCTGATTCCAATCCAAGCAAGGCATGTCCTTAATGGCTCTGATATTGATAGTCTTGCCGTCAAAGATGGCCACCGCATTCGGATCGCAGCTGTGATCCAGGATAGAAGAAGCCAAGTAAATACCCGTACCAATGGAGTTCATATCGATGTCCAGAATCATAAAGCTGTTTATTACCATCTGAAAAATTAAGCATCTTTCAAAATATCTTTGGAAGAGTGGATGATCATAGCTGCTATTGCCGAGTATATACTCCTGGTTTCAATTTGTTAAATGTTGAAAATTCTGTGAATTTTTTTTTATGGCATAAGTCGGTAAACGAGCAGACGGATCACCTGATGGTAAGCAATCGGCGTCGCCCATGGACACCCGAACACCAGAGGCGTTACATGTGTGTTACCGGCCTTTTGGGGATTAGGAGTTTGAGGACCGTTGGGGATTCAGGGATTGGGGAGATTGGGGAAGGGGAGGGTAATTGAGTCTTCGGTTTACAGAATTAGTGTCCATCTAACTACCACTTCGAGAAATAAGTCGCAATATCTGTACAATAATTTATCGAAATTGATTCAGGTTCAATACAGGATTTGTTAACTAAAAAATCGCGGGTTACTCACGTGAATATACTGATAAATATAGCTTCGAACCACAGAGGGGTTCTTCCTCACGAGCAGCGTGCGCGGTCGCGGCGATGTCGCGCAGCCTAAACTAGTACTAGTAGAGCTTTTCTCAGTATATTCACTTGAGTAACTCGCGAGTTTTTGTTAATTTAGTATGTCTCACGATAGTTATTATAGTCTTTAATTCTAATACTTTGCCCGACCCGGGAATCGATCCCGAGACCCCTTACCCGGCAGTCGCAATTGCGACCACTCGGCCAACGAGGCAGCCTATATTTCTAGAATATCAAGTAGATGCCAGTTGCATCTTACCCTCCCATACAGTCCCATGAGTTCCACAGTGTTCGGCAGTGATATGTCTTTTAGGAACTCGTACAGCACCACGCAGAGCGACGTGAAGTGATCCATCCTCTTCGTATCCGCTTTCAAGTCTGAATAATCTGTAAAGGTATTGTAACTTTCGTGAGACATACTAAATAAATTATTATGTTTTCGGCTTACTCACGTAATAATTTGACGAGGAACTCGGCGACACAGTAGCAGCGCGACAGTCGCCGCGTCGCGGGTCGCGAAATGCTGCTCATGGATATGAGCCTCTAGCATGGCTTGAAACTAGTCGAGTTCCTCGTCAAATTATTACGTGAGTAAGCCGAAAACATAATAATTAATCTGTACAGGTGGTAAAAAAAAGTTCGTTTTATACTTAATCTTACTAAACAATGTACATGTGCCACGGTTAAACGTGTTAATACCACCAATATGTACCGTACTATCTTTTTTTATGGAATAGGAGGCAAACGAGCAGACGGATCACCTGATAGTAAGCGATCAGCGCCGCTCATGGGCACCCGCAACACTAGTATTGTAAACATCAATTGTTGAATGTATTATTATTACCTACACATGTTTTGGCAAATATAATTATCTTTATTTATCTCCAGTTTTTTTTTTCTAAAAAACGTTGCCCCACACTAGCATTTTCTCCTGTATCGTGGGTGCGTTTACAAACATACAAATTCAAATACACATGACACCCAGACCCGGAACAACAATTTGTGGATCGGTTGCCCAGCCACCGCACCAACCGTGCAGTCTACAATGGAAGACTTCTGTGAATGCCTTCCGCATCATCTAGGAGATATAGGATATCAAGTCAAGAAAACTTTTGGAGGATTTGGAGCTTTAATACTCATTGATAAGGTCTATTGAATCAATTGAAGGTCTATTAAGACTAAACTTGACATTGATGTAATGTGAAGAGCTGAGGATCGAACTCAGTAGCGTTAAACTGGAGAGGCCAATGACCAGTGCACGAAAATGTGTTGGTGATTCAAAATCTTTATATCACTCAACAAATGAATGCACAGAAAATCCATTTCCATTTCAACATCAACAGGCAGTGGCCAATGTTGACCAAAGGTCTCTTCTCACACGGAGAAGGTTTGAGCATTAATCATCACGATTACTTGGTTGAATTCAAACTTATAATTAGAAATTATAAGCCCAGGCCTCCTCACGAAACCGATTTACTACCTAAAATAGATCCACATCCGCACAGAAACAATCAAGACAAATATATCATAATCATAATAAATATACTATCTCTATGTTTGTTTGTTATTCCGTCCAATGACGCAGAACCAGGTGAACGCAATAATATATCCGTCTTGGCGCAGGTTTCAGAAACTAAATCATTTGTACCTACTTCAAAATGATGAATTGTTTTACAACTAGGCGCGTGATTTGAATCGTCATTGAAATCGACGCTTGAAATAGGGATATTATGCTTGGAAATTGAAATTAGAGGGCATGAGGCATACGAGATTAAAAAGTAGGATATAGCACAACAGCCTGGGTACCATATAGAAGCTAACTGCAGCTAGCAAATTTCCTTTTACGTATTTAGAGTTAGTTCTGTCGTGTTTTTGCGCAGTTTTGATTTCTACGGCTGCTCATACAGTTGAAAAACTTTGTTTATATTTTAAGAGAATACCATGATATAGTGTAAACTTATGAAAACCTCAAGAAGTAGTAAGAAGAAACTCACGTGACATCAAATCCTTCCACATTCTGAAGGAAGTGCCGGAGTAGAAGGAGCGGAATGAATGGCCGTCACCTCGGTACAGCCGGTTGATGATCTTAGCCAGCATGCGAGCTCCGTCCGGCAGGACTTTAGGAGCCACACGCTTGAAGTTTGCGCATTCCCACTGAAAATTAAATTAGTACCTACTCAGATTGTCTCATTGTTTCTTTTACTTTGATATGATGGTACTCGGTTGCAGATTAAGCGATCTTGATTTCTAATCAAGGAAAAGCTACCGTATTTCATAAAGACCAAAGTAGTTGCTAAGCGTTATAAGTTAAAAAGTTAAATAGTTGGGACGACGTGCTCTATTGTAGACCGCATCATCGCTTACCACCAGGCGAGATAGTGACCACACGTCTGTCCAGAACTTGAAAAAAATACACGATTTGTTCATTTCAACGGGGATAAGTAATTCTTTAATGCTAAACAATGGTATAAAAATAGCATGTACCAAAACTAATTTTAATTCAAAAGCATTAAGATTGATGTACATAAAATACATCAACAACACGGAGGGAATGAATCAATTCATTCAACGCGATGTTTTATACTTTTGAATTACGATTCGTTTGGTTTTAGAAACAGCATTAGTGCGGCTCAAAATAAATCGTACGTTGATTTAAAAGCTTCATCTTTTATTTAAAATTCGGATTAGATCTAAATAATGTGAGTAGGATTTTGGGTGATTGGACCTACTTCTTTAAATCGTATCTTCGCTGGATCAAGTTCTACATTTTTATGGGAAAAGGCGGTAAACGAGCAGGCGGATCACCTGATGGTAAGCAATCTGCGTTGCTCATGGACACTTGAAACACCAAGGCGTTACAAGTGCGTTACCGGCCTTTTAGGAATTGGGTATTTGAAGATTAAGGAGGATTTTTGAGGATTTTTGATTTTTGGGATTTGGGAGACTAGGGAGGGGGGTAATTGGGCCTCCGGTAACCACACTCACACGACGAAACACAACGAAAGCGTTGTTTCACGTCGGTTTTTTGTGAGGCCGTAGTATCACTCCGGTCGAGCCGGCCCATTCGTGCGGAAGCATGGCTCTCCCACACTTTTATTCAACTTGGCGATGATCTCGATTCCCCAAATACGATGCGACTTTTTGTTGAATCATTTAAATACGCCTAAAATCGTAATACCGTATTTATTCGTCACATCGCCAGGAACTTAATCAAGTTTAGTACACCAGGCACGAATTGAGCCACCAATATTTTATCTTTTTAAATGCTCTTATTCCGCTAATATATTGCACAAGTACGCGGGTAACGACTTTAGAATATAAATAAGAGTCGAAATAAAAAGAGAATGTAATGGCTCGGTAGCGGTAGAATGGCAGCCAGCCATGAAATGTCTGGATCGTAGCACAGACCAGATTGAATGGGACCTTTGACACGGAAACGTCGCACAGACAGGTATTTGGACCTAAAAGTTGGCCAAAAATATTTGGTACGCCTAATGGTTGTCAAACGATGTTTTATTTAAGTTTTAGCTTGGAAAAGGTAAAAAAAAAGCGTATGTAACATATACAAGCATTTATTCTTCATTTTTGTCGTCTTCATCAAAACTTAAATTTAAAACGTCACTTTCTAATAACAAATTTAAAACATCAGCCGAAAGTGACACATTTTTTTTATTCTTCCTCTTCCTCATGCCCGTCGGGACAGGGTCGGAAGTTAAGAGGAGCCTGTTAGAAACATCTGCGTTGCAGGCTATCCGGGAAAATTTTCTGGCGTAGTTGAGCCGGAACATCCTAATGTGTTTGTTGCGGGCTTCTGCCGCTTCTTCGGACAGTTGTCTAATGGAAAGAATTGCTTCTCTTACCACTGAAGCCCCATGACGCAACACTTTATGCAATGTCGGAGACATTGGGTAAAACTTATACAAAGAAACGTACAACTTTGCCGTTTCTTGGCAATATCTTTCAAACATCTCGCAGTTTATTTTTAAACCACAGCACAATGTGTCCAAAATCACTTTTAATCTATAAATTAAATTTACGTCTATCCCCGTAATTGTCGCTGATACTTCGAAATTTTCAAAAAAACGTCTGCTAGTGTTTCCGTCATTGGTATTTCCAAAGTTGGCTTTTGGTATATCCACCAACAGACCGAGTTTCTCCCGGAACTTATCTTGGATTTCTTTTTTTTTATTTTCCACTGCTTGCTTTTCCTCGGCAGTAAGGCGTACGTTCCATTTTTTTACGGGCAATCTATAGGCCACATGTAAAATACTCTCAAAAAATCTTATCCGAGCATGCAACAAAGATAAGCCGAATTCTAGGTTTTCTTTTTTGCATGGTCTCTCCTTCTCTAAATCATTAAACTGTAATGAATGTAGCACCTCATGGTTGATTGCATACTTTTCCATCAATCATGGCGAAAAGCATTTTATGCTTAATGGAAAAGCTGTTGACTTCGCTTTTAGTGAGCGCTGTTATTTGCGATTTAATATAGTCAATCTCTTCATTTGTCACATCTGTAGTTTCTTTTATGAATCTTATTATTATAGGCCAACAATACCGTGGTAAAGATGGAGTAGGATTTTGCCACAGTATTTTTCTTTCCGGTCCGTAAATCAACTGAAACGGTACCATGGAACTTTGGAATATGTTTGCGTCCCAATCGGTTTCATTTTCAAATTTCATTTTATACTGCATCTGTTGAGATCCATCGCAGCTCCAATTACTTATTAATACTAATGATTGTTTTTCTGCTTCACTCAATTGTTCCACTGCCTCACCAAGATGTAAAATCAGTCGTTGTGCCGTGTGATCCATGAGATTTTGAACCTGTACTTCAGCGCACGTTTCAGTTACTCAGTGGATTTCAGGATCGCTAGATAGGTACTTGAACGTTCCATTATATTAAATAAATCATTTCGAGTCATGACTCTCATTCCAGAAGAGCCTATAACAAAAATACACCAAATATAAGTAAAATTTCAATTACTGAGTATCGAGCGTGTCTAGGGAAAAAAATCACCAAAAATAGAGGGGCACTTTGGGGCGGCTATTTCGTACTTAATTACATCCTAAAAGGTCTATTCTAAAGCTAATCATTACAATTTTGGCTTAGAAATGATGAGAAATATATTAAAACTCCCTTTGATCTTCCAAAATGTGTTTTTTAAAAGCAGTTTCTTGAGGCTTGCTTCTCAAGGGTATAAATAAAGAAAAGCTATAGATTACTTGTTAAAAGTAAGTGCCAAATAAAATACATACCTGGTTGTGTACAATCCATAATGAAAACCAACGCAAAATCGTTCAGTCACAAGATAACAAATATTTCAAAACAACGAAATCTGAGCGCATCGAACAGTCACACGAACACTTTTGGCGAACGGTAACTTCCGACTGAGCCCACGATGTACTGGAAGGGGCTAGCGCTTTGTGTTTTTTGCTATTGTTTGGAGCAGTTATCCTTATTTTTGGAAACAATAGCTTAGAGGGAGTAGAATTAATTTAAAAAAAATCAATTTTGGCCAGCTTTTAGGGCCAAATACCTGTCTGTGCGTCGGCCGTAAAATCCTATCGAAATTTCAATTCAGAGATCGACTCGTGTAATAAGGATACGTGGGTGGATTAGATAGACATGAGAAGAATGAGACTAGGTACTTTGATAGCAGCATAGTATATCTGTGACGGAACTTCGAGAATTTGAGCAAAAATTGCTTTACGTCAGGGTACAGAGAATCAGCGAACAGAGAAAAGGTGTTTCCACGAATAGACACGCTGAGAAGTCCACGTTCCCATGGTAACGACCCCTTCTAAATCATGCATAACCGCAATTAGCGGCCCGCTGTCGCCTGTCCCACTTGGCAATACCAACATAGTACGTGACTTGGGCCAAATATACCAGAAACAAGATTAATTTCTAACAGATTATTTCAGTAACATCTGCGAATACCTATACTAATCATACATTTAAAAAAAACAAGTGTTACACAACGCCCTCTTACGTCAATCGTCATTTTGCCCGTTTGACGTGTGCCGGGCGGTTATTCCGGATATCTCCGAGCTGTTTGTATCATGTCGACATTTATCGGACATTTAGTTCGAGAAAATAAAATACGAAACATTACGCAGGGATGCCAAGTTAAAGATTCTGGATTACGTGTGAACCATGTCATAATGTTTGTTAATGTACGGTGTAACGAGCCGCGCTGCATAAATATTTTTATAAATACGTTTGCCGTTTGATGATAAAGTTGCAACATTTGGCTGTCACGGTCGGATCTCTTTTCGTATCATTTATTTTAGAACTTAATTTCTTTTCACGCCCACGATTTATGCGTTTTCCCGCGCTATCGTTGCGGAATAGATAGATCAAAGTCTGTCTACTAGTATAGAACTGTCGACACATATAACAGCTATTCATTAAATTTGATTGGCCATAACTTTTCACATAGTTATAACATAAATAATTAAAGCAAGTCTCTTAATTAGTTACAACTAATATGGTAGAGTAACTAATAAATTTTGGGCAATTGCAGGTTGGATTTTTTGGTTAGACAAAATATTAGTTTGAATCAGATTTTCAAAAAAACAATCAGTAGGTAGTGGTAATCTAGAACAGCATAAAGTAGATGTTTCTCGCTGTTTGCACTTCTGCAAACTCCTTTAGGTAGTACAGGGCAGCATGAAGACACCTAAAAACCTCCTTTTATAAGAAGAGAAAGTAAAAGTCACAGATGCATACCTTGTGATCACCCCACGCATCTCTCTGGCACGCTCGCCCGCAGTAGTAGACAAACTGGCATCCTGAACATTTCAGTACTTTGCCCCTGAAATGTAACGACACGGTCATCATGTCACAATACAATACGGCTGATGCATGTTTAAAAATATAAGTTTGCCACCTGTACACAGTGATTTGTTTTCAATGTCAATTCAATCAATGTGCTGGTAAAAATAAATATAGTAAAGATAAATATAGTATTCTTCTATGTGAGTAGAGGTCTTTGCCCAGATAGGACAATTACAGGCTGATGATGATGACAGATATTAAGTTCTACTAGTGGTAAATTAGGCAGTATTATTTAGAATTTTACTGACCTACAATTTTGCATTTTTTAATATATCTCCTAACGGAGTTGCTAAAATAAATAAAAAATGTACACTATCTATCTAAGGGACTAATAAAATTATTAATTTAACTATTTTTGGTTGCCATCAAACCACCATAGTATTCCTACTATCTTATTTTTAAGAAGAAACATGTTTATAGTTATTCAACTTTACAACTACATGTGAGAACTAGATGATAATAAATAAAGCAATAATTTTGAATAGATAAGAATATGATTATGTGTAACTATCAAATAAATCAATACAAATACCACTTTCATTAATGATACTAAAACAAATGTTGGAATTTGTTACAAAAAGATTAGGAAACATTCATCATAATGGTTATTTCATAAACTTTAAAAGGTAACTTCATGGAAATAAAAGATTTCATTAGATTGTTTATTCAAATAAAAAACTTAAAGTAAAAACTAACTATTACTTAAAAAAAAAAATTAAAACTAAATATTACTAAATTAAAACTAAAAAATTAAAGATTTCATTTGAATGATGGCATAAAACGAACAATAAGTTTTGTACAACTTATTTAAGTTTAAAGTCTATTGCAAAAAGAAAACAATTAAATATTCACCAAGATCAAGGTCACAGAAGTTTACTTAAATATTGGAAATGTTCTCAAATATTTTTCAAGTTGAAGTTAAGTGTACTTTACTTACTTTTCCAGGCAATTATCGCACCGGCTCCCTTGCTCTTTGGACGATAAAACAAAAGCAAAGGGTTGCTCTGTCAAGATCAAATCCCCGGCTTTGATGGAAGAATCCGTGTTTCTATACCTATTCCTCATATTTTTAATTTATGCTAAGTTACACCTAAGAACTAAACCGTACGTATCCGAATGAGAATGTATTAGGAATGTCAACGTTCTGTGTTCGACGAGTTACGAGGCGAGGTGTTCTTGCGTATGCCGAAAATATGATTTGGCCCCGCTACCTGCCGGTCCAAATTTAACACTACTCAATACCGGTTACATTATTTTTAGTGAAGACGCGACCACAGCCGGCATATTAAAACGAAAAACAAACAAAAAGCGGCACTATTATTAGATCAGCATTTCGTCATGAAGAGTAAAATGAGGAAAGGAAAGCAAGCATCTAGCGAAGTGCAGAAGCAGAATAATAACACAAAGCGTTCCACGAGCCTTTGTTTACTTTTTTCTGACAACAGGATAGAAACATTCTTATTACTTTGTGACAAAAAGAGAAAGAGGATAAATTGAAATAAAATTTAGTTCGTGTAACAGAGTGATTTATGAGGCACGTTGACACTTGTCATCGTGACTACTAATATTCTAGTTCAACGAAATGATGGATTTTTTGACATTGGTTTTATTTTGGAATAATTAGAACATCAATTGTGTGCCCATGTACTTATAAAGTGAAATATAGTAACTCTTTTTTATTTTATCTTGGGTAAGTAACGAAATTAAACAATTTTTCAGATAGGCAGGAAAATTGTGCCCAAAAGACTAGAACCTATAATTTTATAAATATTAAAATGTCATAATGACATTGACAGTGACAGTAATGGTAAAAACCACGGCGACCTACGGCGAGACGAGAAAAATAAAAACAAGGAAACGTGTTGCTTTTCTGTGCTAATAAAATAGTGATTTGCAATAAAATCAAAGAAAAATGTCACTAATAATGACTAAAGCTGCACTTGCAATGAAGAATCCGGAGGTTAACTTTAAAGTAGTAAAGTTTGAAGCTCACAAGCCTAAAAAGAAAAAGGTTGCTGATAATAGTGATAATAATGATATAAAACCTGGAAGCCAGCAGTCTAGCAAAGATTTAGATCTAAAGAAGATTCGCCATGAAGTTGTTAAGTTTGGAATGTCAGGTTTTGACCCTACGAAGAAAGAAGAAGCCAGGATAGCACTTGCAGTTAGTCTAGGTTAGTTCTCATTATTACACAAGTTTTCAGGTAATATTAACGTTTCAAGCCATCTTTTAATGACCATGTTATATCTGTCTCTCATCACTGATACTTATAGAAGCCACATTAGTTATTACTTAGAATTTAATAAGTAACTACCTATTAATTAATTAATTAAAGATACACAAATTCCTATTATGTGCTTTAGAAACAGTCTTAATCTGTCAAACACCAAGCGGTCACCGGTGACCGCGACCTATTGTTCTTTAATTGTGTCTATAAAACCGGTACTCGACGAGTTAAATTAAACCACTATTATAGGAGCCATAATGTTCTGTTCAGCAAAAACATAATAAACCATTTTATTTATATTTTATGTATTTTATTTCAGGTGCCAAACCTCCCAAAAAGGAGTATGTAAACTATAAAGAGCTTATGGAAAAGAGGAAACAAGAGAAGAAAAAAGAGTTAGAAGATAAACAGCAGATGAGATCTAAGAGTATATTACAAACTGGAGGCAAGAAGAAAAAGAAGGGTAACAATGATGTCGGGCATTTACTTAGCAGTTATGGAAAGGTAATCAACAAAAACAAACCATTTTTTATGTCATAGAGCGTCTTACAAGTAATGGGATCGTTTAACGGTAAGCAATTGGCACTCACAACACCAGAGATGTTACAAGTTGGTTCCTGGTTTATGGGGATAGAAACTGCTGAATAATACTGCTACTACTATACTATTGTCTAACCAACCTTTATCAACATGTTAAATCCCATGTCAGTCATTGGTGACTGACAGTTAGCAGAGGTTTTGCCATCAGTAATATTCAATTGGCAGTCAAAGCTTAATCTTATTTGTTATTACAGAATATTGTATAGATAGCCAAACAATACTTATTTTCAGTTACTGAATCAATGAAGTAAATTATTTAATTAGAGGCCTATATTTCACAGTGAACATAATATAGAGAAAAAGTGTATTACTGTCCTATGTGTTATTGTAGTTGATAACCTACCCCTGTCCCAATATTTTATCTCAGTCTCTAAACGTTTTGATGTGAAGAAGTAACATACAAACATAACATCACGCCTTTTATCCCCGAAGGGGTAGGCCAAGTTGCACATTACGGCACTAACTTAATGCCACTGTACAATGTAACACCCACTTTTCACTATTTACGTTATGAGTCCCATGTAATAGGGATGTCAGCCCGTTGCCATATACTGGGCACATCTCTAGACTCCGTGGTGCTACTACTAAGGTTTTTACAAACACAGTAATACTTTGCCTGACCCGGGAATCGATCCCGAGACCCGTTGCCCCGCAGTCACACTCGCAACCACTTGGCAAATGACATTGGCAGTAACATACAAACTTTCACATTTTTAATATTAGTTGGATAATTGTGTAGTTCTATGTCAGCAAGATATACATACTCCTTTGCAGAATCCATGCCATGAACTAAATAGCAGCCTCATAATGATGCTAGTATTTGGAGTTTTATTCACTATTGTGACTGGCTACTGGTCTATGTCTATACTCTATGACTGTTTCATGTAATGTTGATATCAATGTTTTTTTATTTAATTAATTGTAGAAAAACGTAAAGATAACATGTAACTGTACCATGTATGTAGTTGTAGCACTATAAATTATTATAATGTGATTGACATACGGTGATTATCTAGACACCACTGAGAAACTGTGAAGGAAAACATTGTGTGGAAACTTGGGCTTGTAATTTCTAATTATAAGTTTGAAATTGACAAGCCATATTGAGCAAATGTGGTGATTTATTTTTAAACCTTCTCTGTATTAGAAGAGGCCTTTGGTCAGCAGTAACCACTTATAGGCTGTTGATGTGTGCTGTGATGTGATTGACAAACTGTATATTTTTATTATGCACTACTAGATTGTACTTTACTTGAACCTAGTGCATTTGTAGATAGGTATGTAGATATAGCTCTGTTTAAACTGGTAACAAAACTTACTTTCGTTTTATTTCAGGTAAAGAAGAACGACTTGAAGAAAGATGATAAAGGACCAAAAAAGAAGAAGAAAAGTAAAATTATTTGAATAATAAATTATTGTAAATACGAAATGATTTTTGTTACATTATAACTCCTGCCATGAATAAAATATCAACAAAACGCATAATAGCAGTAACGCTGCGATACACTTTCATAAGGCGCATTATGATGTCTTAAATTATAATTTGTTATAAGCAGAAAAGAATATGTACCCAGACATAATTTGTAATAAACAATTACTTCAATTCGATATTAGTAATGTATGGTGTAAGTAGGAGCGTCGCAGATCGCGGAATACTGTTCATGAATATATGAGCATCTTGCATGGCTTGAAACTTGTCGAGTTCGTAGTCAAATAATTACGTAAGTAAGTCGAAAAACATGATAATTAATTAAGTGTATGTCTCACGAAAGTAATAAGTAATGTATGGATACAAAGAAACAAAAATAGTATATTTATTTATTTATTTAAACTGTCAAACACCGCGAGGACACCGGTGACCGCAACCTATTGTTCTTTAATTGTGTCTATAATGACGTTACTCAAAGAGTGAAATAGGTATAGGTACCAACAGTTCTGTATACATAGTATTAAGAAATAACAAAGGTATTAAGAAATATGTCTAAGCACACATCATTAATTACCTAATTAAATTATTTGTAAAATTAATTACAAACATTCAAACAATTGTCTCTAATGGCTAGCAATAATAAATTGACAGGTATTTACCTATATTCATAACAATATTCAACACACACAAACATTATCTTATCCTGTTAATATGTCGTAGATACCCTTGTTCATACAAAAGTGGTCTCTAAACATCGGAAATAGTCGCGGAGAACCTAATGGGTTACCGGGGCTCCGGCTCGACGTGCAGGAGTAGGAACGGGGTGGTTTTTAGTCAGTAAGAGTCTGACACTCCCTCCCGCAGATCCACATCCACTTTTCAGTATTTATGATATTAGTTACATGTAATAGGGCGTAAGCCTTTGTTATATACCGGGCACAGTTCCATACCCCGTGCTACTACTGAATTAAAAAAAAACCCCACCCGGCAAAGGAGACACCCTTTTCTTTATACTATGGAGACAGTCAATGGGAAAATAGGTAAGTAAAAAAGATTATAGGTAGGTAGTTAGATACTCACATAATTAATTTGTTACCTACTACGCATCGTCGCGGCCAAAGGTAACCAACTTAATGTAGGGTAGGTAATTAATTGATCACAAATTTAAGTATCTCATTAGTAAAAAACTTTTTCAAAAGAAAAGATTAAGTATTCTTAAATTAAAGTTAATGACACTAAATTAGTGTAGGTAATACTATAGTGGGAGTAGAAAGTGTTTACTATAAAACTAAGATATTTTGATAAATATCAACATAGCACATTTACCTTGCCGTCAAGCGAGATTCGTCACATGTTCACGTTCAAGACATTCCACAATGGATCTACACCTCCATTTGTCAGTTGCATTCCGTGCCTTGGATCGTAAATGGGGCAAACCCATAGACCTGGACTCTTCGGACGACCTCACCCCGTGTTTACCAGCTGTTGTAGACTTACCAACGACTACATTCTCTTCGGAAGAATTCTTGAGAGCCAGAAGAACACAGAAGCCGTATTTAAGAGAAGAAGAACAAAGATTGGAGAGCGTAAATGATACGTTTGCAGATATATCTAGTTCTAGAATACCATCAGTGTCTAATGAATCCGGTGTAGAAGAATCTAGTGGTTGTCCAGAAGAATCCAGTGGTTGTCCAGAAGAATCCAGTGGTTGTTCAGATTTATCGAGTGGTTGTACAGAAGAATCCAGTTATTATCCAGAATCTAGTACCTATAGAGCGGATTCCACTTGTTCAGTGACAGAATTTGAAACAGACCTTATCAGAAGTGTTGAAGTACATTTCCAGCAATGTGAAGCAGATTGTACTGCCATTTTGGAACCTGGATTGGAAAGAAATACGTGGTGGGATGTGTTTCGTTTGCTCAAACAAAGAGCTAAGTTTTTTATTGCAAAGTGTAAGAAAAATAGTGAATGTTTTAGTCGAGGATAATATTGTGAAATTAATTCAGTGAATGAGTGTCTAAGTGAAATAGAACTATATAAGATTTGGAATGTAGTGTACCTACAAGTAACTATTTTATTTATTATCGCGCTACCGTATGAGGGTACCATTATTATGTAAGAATTTAATTAAGAGTGATTGTTAAACTGCCTTCTTGGTTGAGTGCTTGCCAGCGCGGCTGCCGAGCTACCTCGTTTCCCGAATCAGATAAAAATCAATATGGGGTTTTTCGAATTTTTCAGTCCAATTATAGGTTCACCTATACCATAAGACTTATAACTGGTGATAATAATGGGTGCCACATTTAATGTAAGTATGTACCTCTGCCTATCCCATCTTGTGAAGAGTAAAAGACACGATGTTGTGGTTGAAATTACTTATAATTTAAATAAAATATTAGCGTAAAAATCTATCTTTTCTTTCTATCATTCTATCTTCGTTACGATAAGTCGCTAAATATTCCAGTCTTTTAAGTACTTGCTTTTACTTTACATATCTGGCCCCCTATTGTAGTATCACGATATTTTGATTATTTTCTTCTTTGGAGCAACATAACATTCTAGCCTTTTATTCTTCGAGGATTTACATTATTCTGGATTCGAACCCGATATCAAATAACTCGTCAGTCCCTTGCGAACACTCAACTATTGAAACATTATATTATTGTATTCTAATAAAACAACAAAATAAATGTTAAATATTTTATAATTGAAAAATAACTAGGTATTATAATAATGATAATATTTACAATAACATAAATACATTAGTACATCGTATTACGCCGGCAAGTTCATTTTTTACAATAAATAGTTTTAAGCATTTCATTAAAAATAAAATACAACGTAATTAACAATTAGTTTACACATAGGGCTCGAAATATTTTATAGCAGTCGTCATAGGTTTTTCGTTGATTTTGTTCGTTGTTAATGTATTCTTCACGCGCATCTTTATATCTCTAGGCTTCAACACATTCTTGTGGTTGGCACACGGAGGCCTCACACACACGTATTGCTTGCTAGGCGTGAATATAGACTTAGAACTAAGACCAGACGTCTCAAGGAAGAAGTCGAAGGTTCCCTTAGTTTTGGGCGCATTCAGCTCTGGGTTGTTATTCAAGACCATCCTAGGCTCCAGCTTGACAGTGTTGTAAGAGCCGCTGTTGCTCCCAGACGAATTACTAGACTCAATATCTGAGTTCCTTACAGATTCAGTCTCTAAATTCTCTATATTTGAAAGGAGATCAGGCTTATTAGACAACTTGGCGTTTTTAGACAAACCTTTGTTCAAGGCATTCTCGTTATTATCAAGAAAATTTTCAGCTGTTTCATTGTCTTCCTTATTATTAGTATTATGCTGTTTATCTTTATCAGGTACATTGGTGAGATGCTCTGTTACAACATCGGACATGGAACCGTCGCTGCTACCGGAGCTGATGCGGTATTCTTCTGCAACGATGCTGCCGAGTTCATCGTCTATTTTAAATTCCTCAAAGTTCTGTGACAAATCGAATTTGTCAATGTCATCAAAGTATTCTGCTTTGTGCATTTCTGCATTGTTGCATTGGTTCTTCTCGGGTCCATGGTTGAACTGATTGTCTAGTTCTGTCAGATTAATCTGCTTATTACCTCCCTTGCCACCTTTGTTAATTTCAGATAATATAGAAGACACTGTGTTACCCATTTGTATGGAAGCACGAGGGTCCAGTTTTGGTTGCAGAGGATGCATAGCAAAGTTAGTCAAGTAACTGTCAGCAGTTTGCTGGAAGGAGCGGCTCTGTTCATCATTCGACTTATCATCCTCATCCGGAATGATGATCTCAGTGACATGAGGAAGTTTAGGAATGTCTTTGTCACTGATCTTGTTCTGGATCCTGGGCAGAGACACCACCTTGGCCACGCTGTTTCTCGGACTGACGGCGTGCACGGGGTACTGCTCGTTATGGATCTCTACCGTTGGCTGTGTGAGTAGCAACTCCCTCTTGCCATTGCTGACTACTGGAACATTTATCTCTGAAATGGAGCAGTAGTCAGGCTCTATATTGTTGACAGTTGCTACTTGTCCCACTTTTCTCGTCTTAACATCTGCAACCCGTTGGTTAGCCGCAACGGCTTCAGAGTCTAACTGCTCTGTCATTTGTTTGACAGTATTTTCGGCTTTCCATTTAGCCGAAAGGTTCTTTGGCTTAGGCGGCAGGGCGGGAGGAGTTCTTGGCACCTTTCGCTTGTTGAATATTTTCATAGACCCGAGCTCGTTATCAAGTTTTCTTTCAATAACATTATTTACATTACGATTTTCTATGTTAGCAGCGATGTTTTTCACTATAGAGCCTCTTATTTTTGGAACTACAGGCTTCTCAATGGCTTGTACGGTGCGCGGTATTGGCGCTGGTTTAGCATCAGTGCCTTTAGTTATAATCGGTTCATATTCATTGCTGTACAAGCTCTGTATCTCATATTGGAAGCCCTGAGCCGTATTCGGTACCTCGTAACTGTGTTCAGATGCAGTTTCCAAACTGAACTTAACAATTTTATTAGCTCTCTTGTCCGGTCTGGGTAGCGTGTTACTGGTGTTATTTGGTCTTACTTTCTCGTCGTAAGAGATGCTGTTCAGGGTAGAGAACTGTACACGCTTTGTTGATGCTTTAGGACTGGGTGCTTCACTAGATTTAGAATTGTCATTGCTGCTGTCGTCCAAGGAATTCTGAAGCAAAATTTGATTTACACACTCCAGTACCGGATTGTTTTTATAAATCTCGTTGGTAGGATTTTCATCAGCATCACTAGTGCTTGCGTACCAGTTTTCGTTACCATCAGTAGTAGTCGCTTGCTTTGTTTCGACATTATTATTCTTGTCATCAAAACTTGTGCTGAATATCTCATTGTTGTTCATTATATTATTGCACAATATTTCATTTTTAGCAGATACTACTTCAGTATGTATGCCATTGTTGTAACCCAGCAGATCTTCTGAGGATTTAGATTTATTCATTAATGACCTCTGATCCATACAGTCTCCTTCCTGTTCAGGGTCACTAACATTACAATACCAAGGTTTCTCATTGCCTTCTTCACTGAGAACGTTATTGAGGAATAACTGTCTGTTTGCCTTTATTTCATCTGATCCTTGTCTTTTGATTCCGTGTAATCTTTCTACTTTTGTAGAATAGGTTTTCTCGGATTCGCTACCTGTATTTTCTATTTCTTTTTTGGCAGCTTCACCGATAAGTTGGTCAATTTTCATTGAAGCTCTTCTGATGTCATTAGCGATTTGATTCGCTGTGATTTCGTCATCATGGTTTACTTGGTAGCTCATGCCAATGCATTCTTCAGCACTACTGCTGTTTGCTTGGTTATTATTGTAACCTTTTTGCATATTGTCACCATATTTGTTATTGTTCTTTCTTCCTGAGTATTTTCTTGATCTTCTGAAGACGTCTCGTCGTACGAAAGCTTGTTTATTTTTGATGAAGGTACCCTTACTGCCGACACTGGCATTATTACCTTCTTCACTGGAACTTGTGTTGCCGTAAACTATTTCGCTTTTAGGCAACTGGTACTGGAAGCTCTTACTTAACCTAGTATTTTTTTGGAATACCGGTGGAGAATTTCTTTCACGATAACTACAGCTCCTAACGAACGTGTTTTGGAACCTAGAGTCAGTGCTTTCTAAGCTCTGGAATTCAGGGTCTGTTTCGATGTTGGTCTGTTCGCTGGTAAACCCGAGCAATTGCTGGCAATTGCTGCAGTATGACTTGCGAGCTTTCAGTTTTGCAATCTCTTCTTGTTGTGATTTGATTATTTTTTCTTTTTGGTGGAGTGCGACGTGAATCTGTTTCTGTTCTCTGGTTAGGCGGGATTCTAGCAGGACTAACGATCGTAGTACTAATGCCAGCTGGTCTTGTCTGAGCCGTCTCTCCTGCGCCGCCTTCTTGTCGCGCGCGGCGAGGGCGTGGCCAGCCTCCACCAGCTGGTGCCTCTGCTTCAGAACGGACTCGGACTGCTGCTGCAGCGCGTTGCGCACCGCGTCCAGCTCCCGCCTCAACTCCATCGCCTCTGAGCTGCTATCCATCTGGAAAGAGAAACAAGAAATCGTCAATAAACAGTTTTTAGGTAACTGTTATTGCAGTAATAGCAATAACAACGACATTTGACTTTATAAAAGGTTCGTACAGTCTATTAAGAGATCAATTCGATAACGGTAAAATGTCAAGTACGATTGATACACGATTCCTTATACGTCGGGAAGAAATTAATGTCATTTAATGACGGTGCGTCTTTGATCGTAGTAAAAACACTAGTAATGATGGTTATCTCGCAGTAAAGCGATGCAACCGCCGGTCAAAGTCCACCACGCAATACTACAAGTTAACGAGGTCACTGGCCAAGAAACCGTCTTCTGTATGAAGTTAATCAAAAGCGGAATATATTAAAATAATTTAATTAACACAGTATTTGTTGATGGAGTGCATCACATTTTCATCTTTGTTACGTGAGAATAAGGTTTTAATTGCACAGTTGTTGTTATGTTTGATAACAAGAAAATCAGAGCGTATCTGAGCTTATCGCAAGCGCGGGCAGAGATAAGAACTTCAGACGCGGGAGAATCGTGTTTTTTCATAGTGTTATCATAACTGTAATCTGTTACGATTTCCTTATTTTTATAGAGATTGACAATGTTCTGAATTAGGCCAGAAGTCATGACTCACGATATATCTGGGTTGATAATTATGTCATAAATAAATTAGATGAAAAAGAAGTACCTACGTAATTTTGTAACATTCAGTATATTTATATACTGAATGTTATTTTTTAATTTATTCTGCATAATTATTTACTAATGCAGCTAACAGCTTCAAATAAAACAATATTTGCGAACATCACTATAACTATTTCCCGTCTAAAAACTGAATAAATGAACGCTTACATGCATATTTCAGCACTGCTTAAATTGTAGTTAGTTTCAGATTATTGAACCACCAAAGGAAGACAAAAGTTCAAAGACACTTCACTTATTAATATTCAATTTACTATTTTCCACTTTTTCACTGGACTAATATTACATTCTCGTATGAAAATCGTGAACAAACTAGGCAATCCCATACTTGCGCGTGAGTTGACTGTAAGTAAACAGTAATGTAATAATATTGAATTTCACCTATAAATCAAAGGTCGATTCTATCCAATACATTGGACTTTGATCGCCCTTTTTGTTGTTGATTCTCAATTAATTAGTTTATTACTATTTGTCAAGTAAACAAATTAATTTGTTGCACTATAATCTTGTGTCAGCGAATAATCTTCCTTATGTGAATAAAGTTTAGGTCTAAGCAGTATTCAGTTGTGTTTACATGTGACTGCATTTTATTGCAAGAAACTAGTTTCCGCCTGCGGTTTTTCATGAAAGAATTATTCAAATTGGTCAATTAGATTCAGAGCCTTTGCAATGCAAACACACAATAAAATATTATCTAATAAACGTAGGTACATAACGTTAAAGAAATGATAATATTACAGGTCGTGGATTAAATAAAAAAAAATCAGATGCTAGATAACTATGAGTCGTAAATTTTGGGTTTGCAATTGTAATTTGGATACATAAATTACTTTGCTATAAACAACTCCAGTTCATTTAAAACGGTGAATGAAAATGCCACAAATTCGATAGCTTTCATTCATGAAAACGCATTACTTATGTCGTAAAATTAACTAACTATATAACACCAGCTATCTAACGAATAAAGTCAAGGTTAGAAGTTACATAATAATAACTACTCGTAGATAATTAATTCAAATTAATTCTCTGAAGCTAGCACTGAAGTTTTTATGATGACTTATTTGTATGCGGTTGCTCTAATTATTGTCTATCTAAGTCAATTCTATGTAAAACACAATGTAACATCACGACTTCTTTAGCTTGACGCCGATACGCAGCCACAGAGGACATAACGCGTTGCCCTCCGGCTCGAAGTGCAGGAGAAGGAACGGATTGGTTTTTAGTCAGTAAGAGAAGTCATTGGATGAATATACCCCTCAAAAAGGGACCAATTGGACATATTAAGCAAAAAAGATCCAGCCCACAATTTAATAATTTTGAGTTAATGAAGTTTACAAGTACTGTCATATTATGATTTTTTTATTATGTGCCCAACAATATAGGCTGGATCTTTTCTGCTTAACAGGGTCCATTATTTCATATATCATGTTTATGTTTATGAAGTTAAGGGTTCTTGATTAACTCTTTTCTATAACTCTCAAAGTTTTACAATTTTTTTTTTAAGAAACGTTGCCCCATACTACGATTGTCTCCTATGTCGTGGGTGCGTTTACAAACATACAAGTTCACATACACATGACACCCAGACCTGGAACAACAATCTGTGGAGTACACAAAGAGTTGTTCCGTGCGGGAATCGAACCCGCAACACGTTGCGCGGCAGTCAGTTGCCCAACCACTGCGCCAACCGTGCAGCAAAAGTAATTTTATACGTAGGCATTATACCTCTAATTATCACAAGAAACATTTCATTGTCATGGAATTTTTGTAAAACTACATACATAATATCTATAGTCCATCTGTTTAGGTAATTAACTAAAGGTAAACAAAGAAAACCACGTGACACAGAGATACTTAACCTACTATTACTTCAAATATTTCTCGTGTTTTAATTTTAACCAAATTCACTTTAAACTCGTTCAATTGTCATACACACATATACAACTACAAATGCCTAAATCGTACAAGAGCCTTGCCTATGGGTCTATTTCATTATCATGTTTAAATAGAAACTATTCTGAATCTGATGTACGGATTTCTTTCTTGTACGGATATGTGTCTTTGGGCCAAGTTTCTTCAAAATATTTGAACACATTAATTACAAACGATGAATAACCTAAACTTGAATAACTTAATAACGAAAACAAAACAAAGAAACAAGATAAATTCAACAAAATAGGAACGCGAGCGCAATCGACGAGAGAGCTGTCAATGGCGCCTGATTAACCGACTAAACGTAATACACGCTACTTTCATTGTCGCGCTACATCTTAGTTGTACTCTTTAATTTGACAACATTATTTTGCTTCGTTCTTAAAGAAAAGTTTTGGATACCTGGGATTTTAGGCTCTTTATGGTGTCTATTGTAATGAAATATTATATTATTTAATAAATGCTATTAAATTAATATCCTCAAGCATATATATATAATATTTACTAAGAAATAAGTGAAAAGGAACAGAAACATAACATTTAATAGAGAAAACTGTCGTAAAAACTGAAACAATTTTATTTTCTTATGAAGTATTTTGAATCATGGAAATGTCAACTATAAAGAACTCTTTTTATGGTTTGTTTACAAATAGTTAACTACCTAAACAGACGGAGTATAAGTAATACATTCGCGTCAAATTGCACCTTTGTTGCTGTCATTGATGAATCAGTGGGAAATTAGTAAGAATGAAATATAATCTCTATATGCCTAAGGTCGTTCTGTAGGTCTCTTTATCATGTAGCAGTTTGCTGAATAAGGTATTATTTTTTACCAATAATTTTTGCTGTATTGTTTTCGATGTACAAAGCCGAAAGCCGAACCGTTGAACGTATCTGTATCTCACTTGAAATCCTCCAAAACTTTTAAAATACACTTCTGTTCACCCTTTTAGTAAAAAAACATGAGTTAAGTAATTCGATATCACAAACAACTACTACAAATGTAACTTAACACTGCATCTGCTAACATAACCACGTTTGTATCCACCGCGTGTCAGAGGGAAGTCGCTCGTTACTCGTATGCGCCTGCGCAGATACCACTGCCACTTTGACTAATGGGTTATTGCCACGGGAAATTCTGAAGATATCAGCGCATAACGGTTTCTTAATAGCTTTATACATTTTATGATATTTAATTCGAACGAGACATTGCTGAAAGTTACAGCGCAAAAAATAGATGAATTGTTATTTTTATCGATGTCTTTGAAACGGTCTTGTTAGCAGTAACTTTGTATTGGGCACCTTTGCCACTATCTTTGGGGATTAAAAAGCGTGGTGTCAAGTCAGGTATTAATTTGGGGAAAGGCCGGAAGACAAAATACAATTAAATATCAATTAACTTTATCTATGTCTTATCAGTGATTTCCAACTGACACCAAATGAACCCTGTTTTAAGTTTAATGTTGGGCAGATAATAATATGATACAGCACCTATTCAGTAGGTACTGTGTCATATGAATACTTTAAACTTCATTTACTCGTCGCGGAGAACCTAACGGGTAACCGGGGCTCCGGCTCGACGTGCAGGAGAAGGAACGGGGTGGTTTTTAGTCAGTAAGAGTCTGACACTCCCTCGCGCCTCACCCAGACGGGAGCAGTCATTCGATGATTTTCCCCCCTTAAAAAAAAACTTCATTTACTCAAAAGTATTAAAATGTGGGCTGGATCTTTTCTGCTTAACAGGGTTCAAATAAAACTGGTTTGTACTTCAAAATAATGGATAGAAGGCAAGTACAAGATATTGTCTATTAATTGAAGGCTTAGTACGAGTTGGTTTTACAATTAAAGTGACACGAGATCGCGCTCTGATTGGTTGGTTCATTGGAGCCGGCCAATCAGAGCACGGGACACTTCGTCTCGTTTCGATATCGTACTAAGCCTCCAGGTAAGGTCAAATTGTCGGTTTTATCACCTCATTGTTATGTTAAATGGTGTATACGGGTCTTAATTATACGAAGGTTGTTGGAAATGATGATTCAGCCGGACTAAAGTAACCTTTATTTCTACTGTTAAGTAAGTAGGTATTGAAAATGGTGCAGTGGTTTTTCCAAACACCTGAGTATATTTTCAATTGCTAAGGAAGGATTTATTTAATTTTAGGTAGGTATCTGCTGAATTTCTTAGAGTTTTTCTCAACATTGAACATGAAGATGTCACATATCTTTAACAACCATACAGTGCGTACTTACTTTTATTATTGTCTGAATCCCCTACCAGACTACCCAATGAGTTATGACAACATTTCACTGCCACATTACGAACCGTTTTTTACATTCAAATAACTTCAATAAAATCAGTAAATA